GAGCTGTTGTTAAATGCACACTGCATGTATAAATTAGTGATCAGATTCACCCATGCGTAGGAAAATTGTTCTTAATATGTATTGTACTGTAAATGTGACACTTTATATGACTGTCGGTCTGCATTTTCTACTACAGGTTTATTTAACATCACATAGGAATTCATTATAAATAATGAAAATGCTCAAATGTGTTTCTCTAAAATGCTCCATACCACCTAGAACCCCACATCTGTTTTTCAGAAGGCACTTTTATTGGAGCATCTATAGTATATGTGAATTTGTGCTGCTATCTTTCAGTTAATAGATTTATTCAGTAACATAAAGAGGTTTTCACTCCGTCCGTGGCGTTGCTAACAAGGAGCCTTGTGGTGGCGATGGGAGAAACTGGTTACACCCGAACAGTTTCCCTGGGCTGGGTTCAGTTTTAATTATTTACAAATAAGAAAATGTCAATGCCAAAAACTCTATGTGTTTGGTATCTGTGTATGTTTGGTTTTGAACATGAACATTCAATGGCAAATGTCTCCTGACTCTTAGGTGAAAAGGGAAGTGCTTTGGTTATTGCAAGTGTACTTTGACTTTACTGTCCTTATTGCAAAGAATTATTCTATACACACCCTGAATCAAAGGTCTGGCAATGCCAATAGGCACTAGGGTTGCTTAATGAGTCACAAGGCAGTGTTACACTCACCAGACACTTTGTAGGTCTAACCATAGCTCTCAGTCTTTAACTTTACTTACAAACTCTTTACTTTAAAATAGCTTTACTTAAAGACAGTTGTACAGTACCTTCTCCATATTGTTATAATCCCTGATACTGGCCCTCCATTGTTCTGGATTCTCTTCCATGAACACCATAGTCCCTAATGTTAAACTGATGTGGCCTTTTTGCATTTCATGGTAAGATTACACAAGGTCGTTTCAAAAATCAGTGGATCGGAACAGACTCCAACAGTATGGAGTGATAATCAATTTCTTATTTACAGGCACAACCGAGCAAACCTGCCACAACAAATCCATCAGATTTCACAGAATGTATTCAGCAACATGGAATTCATTCAACTTTCCCATCTTGCTGCACAGACTAGCCACCTAACTAGCCAAGAATGTGTATAGAAATTGTTTTTGTCGCATTGAATTTGGAAACTCACAGTGCAAAAAATATATTTTAGTTAAGTGAAGATTTGAGGATTTTTTTTTGTGGGTTAATAAAACTGATCTTTTACTAGAAAAACCTTCCCCCTGATGTCTTAGTTAATAGAGAACAAAGAAGGACCACAGATAATCCTTAGGTTAATTATTGATGCAGGGCATGTGAAATAGAGTACCTAGACTACAAAATATGGACCAAATGCACAAGTAATAAAAAAGTGAATCATTCAAAGATTATTTTTTTATTTGGACAATTGCGACATTTGGAAACCAGTGTAAAAGTCACAGGAGTCAACCGGTGTGCTTTCCTTTATCAGAAAGGATCTTTGAGCAATGTATGAATTGTTAAACAATGCTTTCACACAGAACAGACAGAATGGGTTTAGAATTATGTCCTCCAGGTCAGCCACACCATCTGAAATCAAAATCTTCTTTCCTCTGAGCCGACACCTCCCAACTCCCAAGCCACAAATACGGGCTCAAGCAAATAGGTTACTGACAAACTAAACAATGTAAAGCGACACACAACGTCAGAGTCAAATCGGAGTCCCCACCAGGTGCTGGTCATGCAGGATTCAGGCAGTCTCTGAAGATTCACATAATGGAAGTTGGCACAAGTGTGGCGACAACAAAGCAAAGTCTGTATAATAATAATTAATAATTGCTTACACTTATATAGCGCTTTTCTGGACACTCCACTCAAAGCGCTTTACAGATAATGGGGACTCCCCTCCACCACCACGTGTGCAGCCCCACCTGGATGATGCGACGGCAGCCATAGTGCGCCAGAACGCTCACCACACATCAGCTATCAGTGGGGAGAAGAGCAGAGTAATGAAGCCAATTCATAGATGGGGATTATAAGGAGGCCATGATTGGTAAGGACCAATGGGAAATTTGGCCAGGACGCCGGGGTTACACCCCTACTCTTTTCGAGAAACACCCTGGGATTTTTAATGACCACACAGAGTCAGGACCTCGGTTTTACATCTCATCCAAAGGACGGCGCCTGTTTACAGTATAGTGTCCCCATCACTATACTGGGGCATTAGGACCCACATGGACCGCAGGGTGAGCGCCCCCTGCTGTCCCCACTAACACCTCTTCCAGCAGCAACCTTAGTTTTTCCCAGGAGGTCTCCCATCCAGGTACTGACCAGGCTCACACCCGCTTGGCTTCAGTGGGTTGCCAGTTGTGAGTTGCAGGGTGATATGGCTGCTTGCACAGAATCAGAGCATTTTGTTTAGCAAGTGCTCAAGCTTTTCCACCTTGTATTTCAGCACGTTGTGCGGTAAGCCGTTTATACCTAAAATGTGCCTCAGGGGTGATTCGCACAACACAAAAAAAAGGGTCAGAAAAGGTTATGTAGTGTGTACTAACCCACACTGGTGGTGAGAGGAGGGACATGTGTTTGGCACTTTTCTAAAGGTATTATACTCTAAATAACGATTTACGACTGAAATTTCTTTTCACCGGGCAAACAGCATGTTAATTCGAACAAGCAGCCAAAAAAGGATGTGGTATAAAAACTCCTCTTTTTCAAGCATTCAAGCTGTCCTGGCTTACCAGTTCCTCAACTCTTTAAACCCACATTGCCAATAGCCAGAGCGAGCTCATCCAAGCAAGAATATCCTACCCGGCACACAGTAAGCTGAGACAGAGAAATGTCTTGGACGCAATGAAGGTAAAGCATTGAGTAAATAAATGGAGAGGAGAATTCATACTGGAGAGTGGCAGGGCAAAGATGGTTTTTAGCGAACCTAGGGTAGATAAATAAAGTAGAATAGTCCTACGTGTATTACAATAGATTTATCTGAGGCATTTATCTGAGGCAAGGTGACACACTAGGGTTACAGTTAAAAGGCTTAGTTAGTATACGTACAAGGCAACACTACATCTCAGAATATGTGATGGAGTAAGATAATAAATACAGTGACTGTACAGGGTGAAGAATACTGTAATGTAAATAGTGGAAATATAAGGAAATGTAAGGTGCCTGTTCACAAAAATGGCATGGTATTAACTACAAAGCAGTGTTGAAGACAGTAGGTCTGATAGAGGGGCAGAGTGTAGGATCTAGAGGGGCAAATAGGTGAATTTAGACGAGAGGCAGGCAGTGTTGTAAGGACACTGGTGTGGATTTGTAAAAAAAAAAAAGCAAGCATTGAATTCTAAAGTAGCCCAGTCAGATATCCGATTGGATTGTACATTTAAGGTATTGAATGGATTTCAACTTAGTAATGTTTTTGTAATATAACATTTTAAAGTAAAGGATGCAAACTAAAGATAAAGAAAAAAGTCAAAAAATCATTTGCTAACAACCTTGATTTTTATATGGTGAATTTTGATATATGACAAATTTACAAGCCTTACATACAGTAAAAGGCTCTGATATCAATGCCTTGCTTTTAAAATGTTTTTTAAAATGTTTTCATTTTGCTTCAGCGTTATAAACAGTGAAGTATCATCTAACCTCATCACCCACAAACACTGTGCTTTACTTTCATGATTGGATTTGCTGCCTTTCTGTGAATGGGAAAGTGGAGTTTTTAACATGAAAAAATATTCCATATGCACATACAGAAAATACCCCCATCGGATACCTGAAGGTATCCTTTTAAAAACCATTTGTTCCTTGAATTGTACCGGATGAATCGTTTAATTGGATTGTGTTTCTAAAATTATTAGTCTGGAAAATTACCACATCTTTGTTGTAGCTGCTGCACTGACCTTTATTCGAGGAGACACAACCTAGGTGAATTCTTTATACTGAATAACACTTGTCATTAACACAGAGCTAATCAACACGTACAGTAAATTAAAAGCAATGCACTTCTGTAAATCTGTAATGTACGCTTTGCACCAGTTTGCAGATGCTTTCTTTTGGGATTCTGGCTCATTACTTTCAAAGACCCTGTAAAAGCAGGTTAATTAGTCTCTGAGTCCTCAACACCACAAGCTTCCAGTTCATCCCACAAATGTTCGATAGGACTTTCATGGCAAGGCTCCCACCGGAGCAGCTGGAAATGTTGTCACATTGGGATATGCCTGCAGAAAGATAAGGTCCCAGGACTTGATCAGTGCAGCATTATACAGTCAAGTGGACATTAGTCTCTACAAGTGGAGTGTGGCTCTGACTAGACACTCTTGTCTGGATCATTACACTTGGTCTTTCCCATAATTGTAATTAATGGTTTCACAGAAGGGTGCCTGTATTAATGGACTGTGTTTTGCCTGTAACATCTTGCCAAGCTACAACACCCCAGTCAGGAAGCAACCGTGTGCTTAGTCCAACCACTAGCGTATTGATGGCACAAAAGAAGTGTTCGCTTGATACGTGGGAAACATTAGTTTGTGTCCGTTTTGTCTTTTCTTTTGATTTTCGCCAGACTCGACATACAACAGCTCCAACGATCTCATTTCATGAGCTCGAATCCACTTGCTCAATGAGGTCATTTAGTTCTCATGCGTGCAGGTCCCCCGGATGTGTTGAGGTCAGTCATGAACGATTAGTTACTCAACACGCCGTCCAAAACATTTAATCAATGCTGAATATTCGTTTACCTTATTTTCCAAAAATATATATTTTTAAAAAGTAGAAAGAAAAGCTCCCGTTAGTGCTCAATTTGCATTTGCTGAGCCTGTCCCTTTAAAACTACATGACTAGCAGCAGACCAGCTGTCTTGCCTTTAAGATTTAGTCAGTACCTCTCAGCAGGTCCATTGACAGCCGTTTGTCCTTGCTCGGTCATATATTTTGCATATTCTCGCCATCACTTCCCCTTTAAATCCCAAACCCCACCTCTTTATTCAAATCAATTATTCTCCGTCAGCGGAAGCGAGTGAGATTTTATTTCCGACAGAAATGTCTTTTTAAAGGAGAATTTAAACCGTGGAGGCAACAGTGGGACCTGTCCGAGAATATATCCCTTTAATGTAACAACAACAAAAAAAAATACCACCCGAAGGGTGTTAAAAGAAGAGAGACGAATACAACACTAAAACCGACAAACATAAACTCAACGCACTTGCATTAGAAAGAGGAAACCAGGTAAGCATTTTAAATCTATATTGTGGCATTTTTGCAATTGCAGCATTTAAAAATGCATAAAATTCAACTATCGCACTGCAGTGGGTAGATGTATTCAAGTTACATTCAAGATGTTGTGGAAAGGCACATGAAAGACAATACATTCACAATCACCCTGTGGGGTCGTCAGGATGCATTACTGTACATGGTTGAACCATCTAGCGACACCTGTAATGCATCATCATCGTCGTCGTCGCCTTCTGCCGAGGCAGCGTGCAGTCAGTCACAAAAGCAATTTTTGAACTGTTTCGCCCTGTTCGTGACTTTTCCTCGCATAGAAACGCCGAGCCACGCAGCTAGAAGGCGGTTATCCCGGCCGACCGCACTTACAGGTGCATCAGCAACTGGGGAAAAACAGGGAATTCAAACGACGTCGTCTCATCTGCTTGTCCAATTTGGGCACCTTTAAGAGTACGTGCACCTGTTGTATTTTTTCTTCTTCGATGAAGCATACAGTATTTAACAATGGATAGTCATACATGACTAATAATAAGATGCCGCATTAAAGATTGCCACTGACAAAATGCAGCTCGAAATGAATTAAGGGGCTAGATCTCTTCAGTCGATTTACGAACAAGAATATGTTTTTCCGTGCTTTGGTTAAGAAAATAGTTACAACTCAAAAAGTCCTACAGAAACGATGCCTCTCGTTTAGGAAAACGGCTTCTAAAATTTCTGTGTGCTGTAGCGTGAAACTCAAATGTCTTGACTAGTTTTTGCGTTTGGTTGTCTCACTTATTCCGTAATGCGTTTTTACGTTTAAACGCGAAGTCATTTCTTCTGCAGGGGAACTAGTCTGAATGCTATGCGACGCTATTATGGCAAGGGGCCGTTTTTAATTATTTTTTTACACTGCGTCAGACAAAAGACGCCACATTATATTAACAGATTAAATTTTTAATACGTTATAAACAAAAGGTGTTTTTCATTAAATAGGTTATTAAAGACAACATTAAAGTCGTTGGATACCCCCATTATAACAGTCCTGTATTGGGTCTCGACGTTGCGGGTACGTGTTTTTTTTTTTACTCTTTTTTTCTTCTTGTGACTCAGGGTGTTAATTGAAATCCTGATTCGCGTCGTCAGTGCGGATTTCTCGAAAGATTTCCCCCAGTTTTCGTGATGGACCAGCAGATAAATCCAGCGTTTGTGATTGGTCCGACAATGAATGTTCACTTTAAATATCTGCGGATACACTGGTTTACTCGCAGCTGTTAAAAGCGAGTCAAAACAGCAAGCCGTGTAGCTAAATCTGATAATTTAGCTGACACGCTGCACTTACTCATGGACTCCAGTTATCAATTTGAGAAATGATTGCTTAAAGCGAAAGCATTGAGCACGCATACGTTTGCGCAGTACAGGTCGAAAGAGAATAAATTGCCTTTAGCTGTATAGGTATGCGCCTGTGTTATTGATTATTACTTGACACTAGTTCTTTTACGAAAGAATTAGGGTATTTAAAGACTGCATTTTATCGTTGCTTTAATTAAGTGAAAACCTGTTGCCGTGTTATATAACGAAAAGGAGTGTAATACGATGCGGAGCTTTTCTTGAGATCACCTCATCGACACTTAAAGAAGACATGCTCGTCCAAACTGAACGTTAAAATATTAGATCTAAAAATTATATTTGGTCCGTTGGGTGTTTTTGTTTTAAATGTACAGGCATGGAATTCGATCTCCCATTCGACCGCTCTTTCCGTGTTAAACGTGACGCATTTTGATTTTTGAAATCCCCTTTTTTATATAAAAATCGTGTCAAAATACAGAAGATAACGTAAGTGTGTTTCATTTAGGTGAAATAATATTCTGGAAAAGTACTGCGCTGCGTTTCACGGAGACCCATAACAACAGCGTCTCCACAGCGCAATCCTGTACTTTTCCAGGCTTGAAAGCTTGTCACGACTTGCTTAAGTATTCTTTAGGTTTCTATGTATCCTTCCTGTCTAACGGATTAGTCAGAAAGGTGGTTTTGCTCTGATACAATGGGTTCATTTGATAATCTTGCATCACTTGCGGCATACCGTTTTGGAAAACATTTCGGGAAGTTTAAACGGGCAGCCTATTACACAGCATTTTATCCTTTTTTGATATTATGCAGCGCTGTTTTCTGTTGGTTTTTCTGACTTCTGTTTTGGCTAATAACGCAAATCCGCGGAATAAAGGAATGGTTTAGTATGGACCCGTCTGTGTCGCAGACACTTTTTTTTAGCGTTTCTGCGGATAATTCTCATTTAAATTGGTGCAAGAGAGATCATCAACTAGAACTGGACAACTGGAAGTTCTTAATCCTTTAAATTGTTTCCATCTTGGAAGACTTTTTTTTAAATAAGAAAATTAACTGAACTCCTTATATAAAAAAAAAAACCAGAGAAGTTAATGTACTGTAGCTTACTTACCCTTAGTAAAATTTATTGGGACCAAACTATTGTTACACGGGGGGTAATTGTTTTATGACTGTACGTGGATATATTGTCATAAAAAGTATAGTTTACTGTTCCTTAGCTGAAAACAAGCAGGTTATCGTGTTATATAAATTCCTTTTGAATGCAGAATTGTTTAATTGGCAGAACCGGCCTTGCTGCCTGAAGTTCAGCTGCGTTTAAATAATGTAAATGTGGGCTTGGTTTTCCACAATTTTCAGTTACAACATTAGTCTTTGTTACACAAGTATACCTAAAGCTTTTGGCAGTAGGAAGCACATTTTTCTGTGTCATCTAACTGGTAAAGTAACATGGTGGCACAGTGACAAATACTTAACATTGCTGAGGCCCTGGGATGCACTCTGTGTGGAGTTTGTATGTTCTCCCCAGGTTTGTGTGGTGTTTTTTTTTGCTAAGTGCTCTGATTTCCTCCCACAGCCCAATGATATATTGAGGTTAATGTGCTTCTAGAAGAATTGTCTCTGGTGTGAGTGTGTCTGTCCTGCAATGGGCTGATGTCCTGTCCAGGGTGGATCCAACTTTACACCTATTGCCAGGATCATTTCTGGCTCCCCTACAACCCTGAATTGGATGAAACAGTTAGAAAATGAATGGATATAGCAACGTGTGTGCCATGTATTTCTAAAACCAAGCATTTCTCAATGTTGTTGTGTATTTGGTCTTCCTGAAAAGTCCTAAAATGGAATAATAGAGGAACCATGTCAAAACATGGTATCCCACCCAATGTGTCAGCTACCTGCAGGTTTTGTGCATCTTAAAATCCCCCACCTCTTCTGTGAACATACTGTAGTTATCTGGATTTCTGAATGTGAAATTTGTTCTCCCCCATATTTGGATGTGTTGACCCTTTGTCAGTCATTGTTTTCTGCAGACTGATTTGTTTTAACCCATTGTGATCTTAATCTCAGTTTCTTAGTTACAATCACTACATGTAGAATTATCTCAAAACCAGTTTCTGTTCTAACAATGCTTGTAACTTAACACTTAACACTTAACTCTTCACTGTTCAACATCTCCACTGACTACTGCTTCAAGGGCTCTGGGCTGTGCTGTAAACTCTGTTTACATGTGGGTGGTTGGTATTGTTTTGCATGGTATTTTTGCTATTTTGTGTTTGAATGGTGGTTGAACCTTTGTTTTGTTACTTGGTTCCACTGTAAGATAACCAACTTTGGTATTTCAAGCAAAACGCAGCTTTCTTCCTAATTGTATTATGTAATTACTGCAAAACTTCCTTCTGAGATGCCTTCTAATGACTTGGGTTTGATGTACAAACGTAAAAACATTAAAAAAAAAACCTGAAAGGAGGTCATTCAGCTCATCTAGCCTGGTTGGTAGTGAAGCAGTGAATTGATCCAAGGATCATGTGTTGCAGATTCTTGAAAGGAGCCAGGGTATCGGCTCCAATAACATGGCTTGGTATTTTTTTTCCATTCTAAACTACAACCCCTGTGATTAAATCCCAAAAAACCTCCTTAAAAATATATACAGCAATGTCTGTGTGTATAGGTTTGTGTTTTGGAAAAAATTGCAACAACGACTAAACTAAGGCAAAATATTATTGTTGATGGCAATAAAGGAAAATGTCTTTACTTAAAACATTATAAAACTTGTTACAGTCAAACATCAACTAAATAGCATTTCAGTGCAAACTATACATAACCCTATACTATAACCCTAACTCTGTGCCTAGACTAAATTAAAATGTTTCCTTGGTATAGACTTTAATTTATTGATCTTCACAAATGTTGCTCAAGTAATATTGGATTTTTTTTTATTAATTTGGGAGAGGCCTTTATCCAAGTTGCAGTATAAAGTACACTTGATACATTAACAAGATAGACACTCTAATCATATTATCAGTAATAATTACCTCTTACCTGCTAATAAAGGAAGCAGGTTATGAAGGGGTACCACAATATTCTGCTGTATTTGATATGCATGTTTTCAAGCCTTCTGAAATCCAGGCAGGATATTTTGTAGTCTTTAACACTTGATGCTTTCATTTTAAAACTGGCGATTTACTCAGGAAAAACACAGCATCCAATGGCAACTGAAGAAATGAAATGACCCTTTTTTGCCAAACTTTGTCATTTTTTCATACCTCAAAGATTAAGATCATCATGCACGGGTGAGTTTAAGTGGATTATAGATCATACTTCGATGATTCATGGAGCTGAATGCACCTGGTGCTAATCGGTGAACTGTATTTGACATACTAATGTGGGAGAACACGCAGGCTCCACAGAAACGGGTATTCAAGACTGGAACTGAACTTGGGATCCTGGCGTTACGTGGCAGAAACACTATGACGATGCCACCATGCCTCACGTCTGAGTTTTATCATTAGTAAAATCATATGTCTGTCTCTGAAAACCGAAATAATACAAACATTTGCACCAGAGCAGGATCTTCAAGCTGGATGACCCCAACTCTGTTACTCGCAGGTAACCTCTTTCTAAATATTAGCAACACCCCTATAGTATTGCTGAATTAAGCAAGGGGTCTGTTCAAGTTGGAAAATAATAATTGCTTACACCTGGATGATGCAACAGCAGCCATAGTGCGCCAGAACGCTCACCACACATCAGCTATCCATGGGGAAGAGAACAAATTAATGAAGCCAATTCATAGATGGGGATTATTAGGAGGCCATGATTGGTAAGGGCCAATGGGAAATTTGGCCAGGACACCGGGGTTACACCCCTACTCTTTTCAAGAAACACCTTGGGATTTTTACCACCGACCACAGGGAGTCAGGACCTCAGTTTTACGTCTCATCTGAAGGACGGCGCCTGTTTACAGTGTAGTGTCCCCGTCATTATTCTGGGGACATTAGGACCCACATGGACCGCTGGGTGAGTGCCCCCTGCTGTCCCCACCAACACCTCTTCCAACAGCAACCTTAGTTTTTCCCAGGAGGTCTCTCATCCAGGTACTGACCAGACTCACACCTGCTGAGCTTCACTGGGTTGCCAGTTGTGAGTTGTAGAGTGATATGGCAGCTGGCCATGGTATGGTATGAACCGAAGTAAATTCAGCACTTACTTGACCATATAGTAAAGTCGTAACAAATTAGAACATTGCTTTGTTATAGTGCATTATGTAAGGATAATCAGGAGTGTTTTGCAGTACTTTGTGCTTCTGACACAAGATAGGGCACATACTGCACTGACATGCACCAGTAGACTGCCCTGAGTAAAGGTAAACAATCATCTCTGTGTTATTTTTAAATGTGAAAGATAACCTCTTGGTCTTAGTGGTTATCTTGATGCCTAAATCCCTCCCCTGTGTAATAGGAGATAATCTAGATTCAGTATGGAACTTAAAAGGCTCTGTGTCAAAGATTAGATTTTTTTTCATTTTTTTAGATAATATAATTTGTGCCCATGTCAGAGAATCTGTAAAAGAGAAAAGTCAGAAGGGGGTCATAGCTTTCAGTTTGCTGTCTGGCCAAGATAATTTCCTTTTTTTTTGGTGGTTGTATTTCACACATTTTTTAAAAAATCTGATTGTTGCCGGGGTTTTATCATCTGCTAAACTTTCCTTTAGAAGTTGGATGAACTCCAAAAATTATTCGACTTCGTTTTTAGAAATCTGTCAAAGTAGATTTTTGTGTTTTCATAGGATCTGTAATATGCTGCCTCCAAGGCCTTTCTTCATATACAAGAGTGACAGATTGCTGTACTCATAAAGTCTCTACTGGATCTGCACTGAGTTTCATTAAAATGAGACACAAATTGCTTTTTACCCCCAAGGGATCTGAAATGGCAAGCAGTTTACATTTTAACTGTGCACAAGGATTCACTGAATAATGTGCATTCAAAACTACAAGAATGCTTTTGATGTCGGTCTTAATTTTGTTCCTTGAAAAATAGATTTGAACTGATATGATTTATTGACCTTTGCAGGTGCCAAGGCGATACTGGTCACCACTTACTGCACTGCAGCTGTCCAACCTGTGCTCTTGTATGCAGGCTGGGAGATATTTATGAAGCTTTCAAGGTCTACTGGTGAGTCAGACTTTGCAGATGTTGTGCCCTATTGTAGATGCTGAAATGAAAAAGTGTGGGTGTTAGCACAAGAGGATAGCTTCATAAAGATGGTAATTAAAGGCAGAGTGCATTAGATTGCTGTGTGTGTCTAGTCGGTTCTTGTTTGAATTCTAATCTTAATGTTAACTAATTTACTGTCCTAAGCTTAAGAAATTAATGTCTCTTCATGTTTGCATTGAATAATGAACAATGGTAAAATGCTAAAATGATAAAATAATAATTGCTTACACTTATATAGCGCTTTTCTGGACACTCCACTCAAAGCGCTTTACAGGTAATGGGGACTCCCCTCCACCACCACCAATGTGCAGCATCCACCTGATGATGCGACGGCAGCCATAGTGCGCCAGAACGCTCACCACACATCAGCTATCAGTGGGGAGGAGAGCAGAGTAATGAAGCCAATTCATAGAGGGGGATTATTAGGAGGCCATGATTGGTAAGGGCCAATTGGAAATTTGGCCAGGACTAAAAGGATTTTTTTGTCAAGGAGTGTTACACAGAACCTTTGATTAAAGTTGTATGTGCTTGGAGAACAGCATATACTGTACATTAGGTAGTAGAATATGTATAGCAGAACATATTGACAATTTTGTTCATTCTTATTAGTCAACAGAAATAAGCATCTGTTTATAATTAAATGTGTCTTTAGCCTACCATAGGTGTTTGCTGTCAGGACTCAGTGCAAATAAATATCATTAGTACGAACGACTCAGGTTCCATAGAACACACTTTTTCTCTCGCTTCTGTCAGGCCTGTGTTATGAGATTGCCATGTTGAATAGGAATTTAAAAATGTGATATGTAATAATAGCATAATTCAAATTACAGAAGATCTTTAGGTGACATTTTCTAGAACCTGTGAATAATGTTTGTTGAGAATAAATGTCTCTTTGGATGATCTGGTTCTAATTATTCAACAATCTTCCTTTCTGGTTGTAGATAATTTGTGAGTCTTGTCTGTTTCTACAAAGAATACAGTATGAAATCTGATACTATAACAAAGAGGTTAAAGAATTCTCTTTGGCTTCATACAGAGTCACATTTCTTTCTTTTTATAGAAGGCGCCTACTATCCTTACTAAAGTAGTTATTACAATTATTTATGTACAAACAGCATACATGTTTTAATTATTGTAGACACCGTATGCTTGCATAAACGCTACCAAATACAGAGAGAAACCTTTCATAAATATCCAGGTTTATTACTTTAAAGATGAAAACTACACTAGAAGGGCAGCTTTTCCTAGAAAATCCTGATTTTCAAGTGGAGGTGACCATTGCCAGTAACTCAGTATTGTAATACTTTTCAGTTAGTAATTTTTATATTACACGAACAGTGAAGGCTCATTGTATTATGACCATCAGGGACATCCGTTTTGTTTACCTATTGTAAAATGTATGATTTACCTGTACTGTTATGTCAAATTCAGGTTTTGAAAGCCTAGATTTTAGCATGTAATTTCAGTACTAGTACAGTACTGAATTTAATGGCAGTGAAACCAGCTGTTTGTGGTGGATTACGGTCTGTGCACACAGAAGAAAAATATTTTTTGGCTTATCATCAAGCAGGTAGTTTAGTAAATTAAGTAGTTTTATGAAACCGAGAATGCTGAATATTGGTAGAAGTTTAAGTTATGCAAAATGTAATAATCACTTAATCAAGCATAGATGGCCATTTCTTCTCAGCAGATATTGTTACAATAAGGGGGTATTGCAGTTTTAAGCATGTGATATTTTAGGCGAGGTGATGGAAATGTATGATCTGACTCAGTCTTGCAATGTGTCTGCAGTGAATCATGTGAATTGCATGAAATTAAACCATTACTTCCCATTACTGGTATTGATTACAGTAGTCACTTTCGCTGACTCAGCAGAAAGTTGAATTGGACTAGAGAACAACATTGAAGGAAGTGAAACATGCACATACTTGTGATCTTATAAACCTTCCTTTGTTTCTGGTATGTCGTTAAGAATTGGTATTCAGAAACGAAGAAACAGAACTGGTGCTGTTCAATACGTCAACTTCACTGTATCATATGGATTCTTCTGCTGAAGGAATCATTTGATCTATCCACATTGCAGTAATGGATGAAAGAGGAGTACTGTACATAACCACTTACAATCCAAATATTATATACTATTCACAAGACTTTTCAAAGGTTAATATTTCAATTGAAGTATTTTAATAGGTTGCCTTAGGGCTTGGTGGGCTCTAAATCACAAAAATCCAGTTTTACCTTTTTCTTCAATTGCTTATTTTCTCTTAACTCAAGCACAAATGTCTATAAAGTTTCTATAAATTACTATAAAGCTACAAGAACTCCAGAAATCCTGCCTCTGCCCTTTTCACTCCTGCGTCGCTCACAAAAATAATAAATCCATACTTTGCTATTGTTGGGAGTTGATCATAGATAATATAAGGTACATTCTGAAGATGATTCTTCTGAATTTAATATTCTAAAGTACTATTTCTGAAAACTGAAATTATGACCTTGCATGGCCTTCAATCAGAACCCTTCTCTGGTTGAAACTTTGACCACAGTCCTTTTGTTTCACTTCTGTTTTCTAGTTACTTAAATCCTTGAAGCACAGTGCTACAGTATGTTCTAGGATTAACTTCTGCCTTGAATTTACAAACTACTACTTAAGATCTGTATTTATTTCATCAGTTTGCTTGTTGCAGCTTGCTGGTTTTCATAAGCATGTGCTATTTAAGGTTAAGTAGCTGAAACACTTGCAAACTTGAGGTAATGACCATATTCATGTGACAATAAAGTGCTTATTCTTGTTTTTCTGCCAGCAGAATGTCCATTGTGGTTACACAGTATTTCTTCATTTGTTTTGACATTCTTACAGATCAACGGAGTTACTTTGAGATTTTGAGAACAAAACATATTTAGGGAATTAATTTGTATTAGTGTAGGTTTGTGGTGTAGTAGATTTTATTCATATTCCAAGGCCTCTCCTAAGACACAGGCATATTTTAAACCTTTTTACTCCTGAATGAATGTTTTCTAGGGAAAGAAGGAAAATAATGGATTTTTGTTTTACTTTAGCCATCAAGTTGGAGGAAAGCTTTTCTTTCTCATAATAAAAGTGTGGATTCAGCTAAAGGAAGGAATGGAGCTATAATGGCTTTTATTCTTCTGGTGCGGTATTGCGTGGGCTGTTTGGTTTAATCAGGGGTCTTGTGATGATTAATTATGAGAACATGCAGATCCCTAGGTGAATAAAGAAAAGCCAATCTGGTATTTCAAACATATTTTGCTTGACTGTCTTTTAATGATCTTGTCTTGGAATCTAATTAACAGAGGTGGCATTGTAGAGTGTCCTAAAAGTGAAATCTGTGCATGCTGTAAAGAAGAATTGAAACTAGATAGTTAGGAAAAATACATTTTTAGTTTACAGTTCCATTTTCTGCTTTGTTCCATTACAGTACTCTATACCTAACTACAGTAGAACATTTTTACTTTAACAAGTGTGGTACAGAAGAATCTTTAGATCTCCTTGGCTATTCAGTAATGCAAAACACTGCTAATAATAGTCTATCTATGTGAAGAGTGAACCCATTCAGTAAGTGGCCTCTCCTTGGATGATCATGTGTGATCAGATCTAGGACTACTGCTCTGAAGCATGCTGGCTAACATGCTGCCTTCTATGAATGTTTAGCTTATTTCCTACTGAACTTGGTCATAAGGTGTAATGCCTAGATGTTGCAGCATCACAAGTAAAATACTGTGTTGAGTAGACCCTTAGGCATGTTCCCCCCCCCCCAATCTGAGCGTATTTACAGTTTTCTGGGTCAATCAATTTAGATCACAGGGTGGGGCAAAAGTGAGGGAAGAGCTATGTGTGTATGTGTTTATTGTATTTCTGAGTGTTAGACATGTCTGGGTGTTGTTGTCCTCGCCTCTTTTGACTGCCCTGTTGGTTTTTTTCTTCCTGCTTCTGTTTAAGAACGAATCAGATGGCAGATCCTGCCTCCGGGGTTACCCTCTCTTTCCTAGAACCAGAGGCACTGAGAGGGCAGGGCAGGAGGGGGAGGTACCCCTTAGTTGTAGGAATGAGAGAAATGTTTGGCCGAAGCTGTGCTGGAGGTGAAATGGACACATTGCTGCCTGGAGTTTCACACACTTGCAATACATTTCACTTAATTGCCCTTGGATTCCAGCAGTACGCCTGAAAGATGAGAACTTTACCTGTTTCTTTCACCCGTGTCTCGATCTTTTCCTGGAGATGATCTGGGCCTCAGGCTGTTTACTTGCTCTTGGGTTCTGTTCACGGTCTAGTGCTCTGGGACTACCAGTTTTGTTACCTGCAGTGACACAAGGTAAGTTTCCTTGGTATACACCATTTGTTACCAGGGAGTACTTGGCAGTAGTACAAAAAAAACCCTTTGAACAAGGATTGTTATGAGCAGACAGGCTTAAGGCTGTACAATATGTAGGCTATGTCATACAGAATTAGTTGTTTTTATGTCTAGACACAGCAATTGAATGTGTAATATAGATCACTTGTTGCAAGCCCTCCTCCTTAAAGAAGTTAGGGACTGATATTCTGGGAAGGATAGAGCCAAGCAATTTTTTATTGATGTAAAATCTTTACATCTATAGTAGTAGGTGTGAATGCATAGTGTCATACCAAAAAGAGATGAGAGGCAATTGCCTGATTTATATTGCATTGTGATACAAATCAGGGTAATACCCAGTGCAAGACATCGTTCTAAGGTACACAACAGAGATTTCGGTCTAGGAAGCAGATTATGTATTATTCCCTGAAAATTGACATTATCCTTTAACTATGTGCAGCCTTAGAAATTTTGCTGAAGGCTCTTGCATTCTTTTGGGGATTTATGTCAGACTGCAAGTTGAAGAGCAGAAAAAATTGTAACGAGTGGGTCCCGCGGAGCATCTGTAAGTGGGTGGCAGGAGATGGTCAGGAGCCGAGGAATATAGGC